AAAAAAGAAAAAGGGAAAATGAAATAAGACCAATTGGAAGAACAAGGGATGTGAATATATATAAAGTTGTRAACTAAATGTCTAAGAACAAAGTCTTATATACTTCAAATGTGGGGCTGGGGGTATGGGGTGAGTAAGAGTAGGGGAAGGGTGGGGATAATTTTTATTTTGTTGGATTCATAATTAAATGAAACCAATTTAAAAAAAAMCCTTTTGGATTTTCAAAGGCTAATAACATCACAAGTCGCTCCAAGTCAAGTGTTTGCGTAAATCATGGAAAAAACAAAGATAATATTCAACAACAAAGACATTCATTTGTGCACGTGCACTGAGGAAGATAAATTATAAATTGAAATTCCCAAGCCCAGAAACAGATAACGACTAACAGTTATTGAATAGAAACCAACCTCAAATGTTCCATGATCTTGAAGAAATTTGATAATATCCTTCTTTGAAACTGCATCTGATTTTAACTGCTCGTCCGTAAAACTTCGACTTGGTTCTTGTTCAGCCATCTTGAAAGTGCACTGATACGAGGCTCGGAGTCTATTAGTGTTTTTGGGCACTGGAAACTAAAATAACAACAAAATGGCGGTCAAATGGGACAGAAGTGGTCTTCTTTGCGAAAATGTGATTTATGGTTGTTTTAAGTAGTTAAATTCCATTCTGTGTCATTTAGCAGAGTCTTTGTAAAGTATAAGTATCAGATGCAGTCTGCTACAGGCGTGTGTTCTTCGTTTGGCTTCCCAGAGCTTCCTAACAAAGAAGATGTTGTGGTTAGTCTAACAAAAAATTGAATACTACAACCTTTAATATTTCCCTGTATTCCCTGTATTCATTGCAATTTGCCAGTAGTATCCTTTCGTAGTTAGTCATTAACTTAACTACTCATTTAAAAACTCTTGTTGACATTTGAATGCTAAAATTGTTGTGAATGTTCATTTTGTTTAAACGTAAAAAATGTGATGTTCATATCTTATACAATGCACATTTGACAGATTTTAAATAATGTCATTTTATCTAATAAACTAGACGGTCATAGGTCGTTTACGTGGGCTTCCTGTAGCTGCGACAATGGTTTGCTGCCATAAGCTATGCTTATTTAATTTTAACGATAGAGTCTTTGTTTGAAATACTGTATAGCTCATGGCAGAATTAAGTAACTTAATTTACGTATTATTTATTACATCTTAATTTTTTACCGAACTGAACTAAATACTACTGCAGCCTTTGGTTTTGTCATTAAAACATTCATGGCTACAAGCTGGACACAGTGAAGCTGTATACRTGCATGTATGTATTGATGGCGGACATCCAGGGATGCCAACTCTCCCGGATAATCTGGGAGTCTCAAGATTTTCGACCGTTTCTCCCGGTCTCAAGATTTTACCGCTAAACCTCCCAGATAATGACGATTCATATATCAGTGTTTTGAAATATCTCTTTAATTTCACTTAAATTACCTTGCATATCTGTGTCATTTTAGTTCTGAAAAAAAATACAAAAATMCCAGTCTTCTGATAACAATAACACTGCACGCCATCCGCGGTCATTTTCAATTGCACAATACAATATATAATATGATTGGTTAAGATACATCCAATCAAATCACTAGTTATAACAAAATTTGATAAATGCGATGACGTCATCGCTAATGTTATGAAACGTCATTTCCGGTATGACGTCATCATTTTCGTATCTCAAGATTTGAAAAGCTCGGGGGTTGGCATCCCTGGACATCTTTTGTTKAACTTTCTCTCCTTGGAATGGTTGAAAACCTAGTCTCCTTCGCAGCCTACCCTTTTGTCGAGCTTCCTAGGAAGCCCGACAAAAGGGTAGGCTGMGAAGGAGACTATTGAAARCCATCAATATCGTGATCAGGCCACGAGGGCAGCTGACATACAAAACAATACATGTAAAAAATGAAAACAAATCGCGGATTGATTTAGTTTGACAACCCCATAGAAACTGAGACTRCAGACCATCTGCAACGCAGACGCTACCAATTTGAAGTTTAATATTCACGGTGATGACAATGACGAAGGAGAAAAGTCCACTGATATTTTTAGATGTGAGCTTTCATAGAAAAAGTTAATGAAATAAATAATTTCTATTATAAAGTACTTTATTATGGAATGTGGATTTGCTAAAACACTTTTTAGCATTCTTCTGTTCTTAAAAAGTGTTTTTGGTAACAATTTCTTATTCTTATGATCACAAGTTATTAACCTCTAACTGCCAATGACACAGTTTGTCTTAAGGTATGGTCATACGAGCAGCAAAATTTGTCCAAAAAAGTACATTTTGAATCATTATTCGTCAAGTTGAATTACATGTACTGTACTATTTAAAACAATACCCTGCGAGCAGAGTGTATKTCCTTACTTCAATAAAAATTCTCGAAGGAAAATAACACTCTGCCGAAACCTTGTAATTTCTTATTTGAGCATGCGCGGTCYTTCGCGAATTTTTATTGAAGTAAGGAAATACACTCTGCTCGCAGGGTATTAATAAAAACAACTTTTACAACTGCAAAAAAAAACTATACTGCAACAAATTATCATCTGACTGTATTGGCCAATCAGAAATCAGGATTCACTAGACTTACAACAAATTATTTTTTGCACCAACTTGTTGTACAGCAATGTCACAAGACAAGTTGAACAATTGTGCTGTTTGCATAACCATACAATTACCCGTGAATGGTTTCCCATAAACAAATTTTATGACATTAATTACTTGCTATTCATAGGTTAAACAATATAGTTTTTGTCACTAAAAGTAAAATGTTACTTTTAATTTTATAGGACTGGACATATTCCAAGCGAAGGGAAATGCAGGTTATTGAAATTGATATTATAATGTTACATGATGGGTTTTTTTTCGTTTTACTGGTGAAACTCTATAATCAATGTTAATTTAGCAATAAGATCTTTTTGTTGAAGAGAAATATTTGAAGAAAAAAAATGTTTTGAAATACGTATATGCAAATGTTATTCTGCAAAGCACACTTCTAGTAATTTCATATTGATTGGTGCAGATSAAAGTTCAGTTTACCTAATGTAAGTACTGCTGGATATTTAGTGGGATAAGTCCATTTTTTATAACACATTCACATGGGTGACAATTGGTAGTCTTCAGCAGTCATACCAGGATTTTGAAAGGACTGCACATGTTGCAATTCCAGATTGGCTTGAACTTATGAATTTTAAATGATGAAGACAAATCAGCAAAAAGTACACACCAGTAGATGATTGTGTCTTTTGTGCTGATTTGCCTCATAGTTACATCTTCAGATAAATGCTAGGAACTACTAACAATGGACTATCCTTGGTCCATGCAATTGTCATGAGGTTTTGAAAACCAAAACACAAATCTCATACATGTTGTGTTCAATTCCATTAAAATGACTATATKTATAATCATTAATTTAAGTGATATTAACAAATAAATGTCTTTCCGTTTACAGGAAATAGCTCCAGGAATTTTTCTGGGTCCATACTCCTCAGCAATGAAAAGTCAGGTAAAAATGACCATTATATTAATAATCAAATATACTATATAAATTATGCATAGTCAAATATTACAACTTTACAGTTTTCTTCACAATAGTTAATCCTATGTGGACTCTCAGAGCAATAGACTCTCAACTTTTAGTATCCATCAACWGTCAACTATCACAAATTATCTAGCATTCTGATTGGCTGTATAATTATAGTCTGTCTATTCATCGTTGAATAAAGAACAAGAAGCACTTCGTGGGACATACCGTGTCCAGGCTACGCTAATATATACTTTTACCAGCGCCGCGAACTATTTGATAGATTTTGTCTATGAYATAATTTCACATCATTTTTTTGAATATGTCATTGCAGCAAAAATTTAGCATTCAGATTGCGTTCGCATTATCCTCAGAGAATTTATAATTAAAGATGAAAGTTTGCTTTGCACAAAATGATTTTAGAAAAAGAATGAGACAGTATGTATTTTAAAGTTAAAGAAAGAAAGAACAAGAAGAAAAAAGTTTAGAAGCTGCCCGAGTCGAGAATCGAACCCGAGATCGTCAGTTCAACGCCGCTATTCAAGTATGATCTTGCGTGTAAAAGATGTAAAACAAATATCCACATGAAAAATGAGAATACGTATGTTTCAGTAAAAAAAAAGAAGAAAAGAAAAAAGAATCACTTAGAAGTGATCGAGTCGAGAATCTCACCCGCAATCCTAAGTTCGTAGCTATTCRAGTACGATAGTCTGTGTAAAAATCTATGTAATGGCTCAAAAATAATTGTTAAACAAATAATATCAGAAAAAAAATTAACGTGACTAAAACAACTTGAGTTCATTTCAGTTCAACAGAAAGAAAAAATGGGTCGAAAATCAAGGCTGCGATCSTAAGTCRCTATTCGAGTATAATGTGTAAAATCAAAATAATGGCTCGAAAATGATTATTAAAAAAAATCTACAGAAAATCAAAATGACTATAACAGCACTATATTATATTTAAAAAGAAAGAAGAAAAAAGTACTCGAGACGAGATTCCAACCCACGATCCTCTGTTCGACGCCGCTGTTCGCATATCATCTTGTTTCTAAAATTTAACAAGCATGACTCGTAAATATTAATAAAACAAATTGCTACGATAAAAATCTAACATGACTAGAACACTTCAGCTAAAAAAAGAAAGAAGAAAAAAGAATTTTTCAGAAGTGCTCCAGTCGAGGATCGAAACCTTGGAACTCTGGATTATGGGTCCCTTGGGATTGCTAAACTGCGACGTGGAAAAAAACAAATAATAAATTGGTCACACTGCATTTTAAAACCGTGCCGCAGGCCTTCAGCCTGGACATGGTTAAAAAAAAAACACTTGCTATAGTTTAGTTGATATTGAAACAATGGACCAATGGCAGTGTTTTTGGCAGGGAAAACATCCAGAAAGATATTTGGTGTGATTAACATTCAATTCACCAAAACCAAAAATACATTATACATTCTATTTCAAAAAACGTTTTCGGGGAGAACGGCAAATGGCGATTGTCGAAGGGAGATTGCTCGACCAAAAAGGACTATATGGTTACACTTTTTTAATRAACAAAATTTCACTTATTAGATTCACCTTACATAGTAATGGAGACTAAATGGAGCCAATTTCACCGAGGGAAACCCATGACTACTTTCGGTCATGCAAACGCCGTTCAACAATTGACATTCGCCATTTTATCAGACAACCTTTTTTGAAATAGCTAATATATAAATCTTACACTTGTTATGTGTGAAACAAATTGTGTTTTCTGTAACTTGTAAAGATTTATATAAAATAAATAATGTAGTTTTGTTATTTGTTTCAAGTTTATCTTAAATTGTTTTTAATATATGGGTGAATTGAGTKATATTCAACATTACAGGAAGAAAACTTGATACATATTAATTAGCACCTACCAAAATGTCCATCATATTGAGAAAGTAGTCCTTGACACTGAGGGTTTGAGTTGTTTAGTATCTGTCAAATTGGAGGACTTGAGAATTTTTGTTCTATATAATAATTATAGTTTAAAATCATGCGCAAATCAGTTTACAAAAGCAGAAATGCTGTTTTTCTGCAATTGGTTGACATTCTGCATTGGTCAATAATCAGGTGTCTATCTTCAGTTGTTACCCTCAAAGAAGTAACCTTCTAATAATATGTGATTGCATGTATAAAAATTATATGTCATTGTTATAGTTTCAGAACCTTAAAGCACAACAGATTACACACATTGTCTGCATTAGACAAGACATTGAAGCAAACTTTATTAAAGCAAATTTTAAAAATGATTTCAGGTAAGAAGAATATAACTACAAATATTAAAATATTATATTAATAGTAGATTCTCATGAGGTAGAAAAACAATTAAAAACATGGTGTAATAATGCTCCACAGGAYTACCACCTCAATCAAAATGTGTAGTTTCAGAAAATATCCACATACCCCCACCACGGAGGAAGAACTGTCGGCCTGAATGTGATCATAAGTAGTTTCTTTACTGTTTATATATAAATTTGCACTTCTATTACGATCTAGAAATCGATCTTTTCCTCCTAATTTATGTATTTTTCAGCATAGTAAATCTTAAATGTTCAATTTTGGTGCTTTACCTAAAACTCAAGCTTCTTTGTGATCATAAAATCTTTGCCGATTATCGAACTTGAGTGTAAACAACCACGTGCTTTGACTAACAAATGAATCTAGAATCTTATTGTCTTATAGAAGGATTCTTTCGCAGTTTTCACAATAATAACACATTCGAGGTTTCTCTATATTTAATAATGAAAGTAAGAAAAAAGGCATTTTACAACATAATTTGTTTTCATATGTAATTATATGATAAACAGAATATTACATAGTCAATTAATTGGAGATACGATTTTTATCTTCTCGTGTTAAAAATCTGTCACTTGTGTCTCAGTTTCGACTTGGACTTGAGCATTACGATTATGCCAGAGACCATAGGCAACCATAATTTTAGGTTAACTCATAGACAATTTCACATGAATTTTTACTTAATTTATTATAAAAGTCTTTCAACATTAAATATCGAAGCAGTTTCAGTGTTGATCTACTTGTTAAACTATAATTTTAAATTCACTGGTTGAATACTTGTATGGTTCATCATAATGTTGATAGTCACAGCTGATCTTAACCAAAACTTGTAAAGCCTTGCTTGACATAAAAACAACGATAAAGAATGAACAAGGRCTTATCAAAGTGAAACATTTTTTGAGTCATTGATTATTACTCAGAGTGAATACACTTTTAGTCTGTGACATTGTTTATAGCGGAGCTCCCGCGCGGGCCAAAGGCCCGCGCAAGCAGAGCACCATAAAATGGTAAACCCATGGGGTTGAGTTTTGATCAACCGACACAGGAAGCCCAGTTGTCCTTCCGTACGTCCGTGCGCCTCCTCCGTGCGTAGCAGCCTGGTGCGTAGGTACGTCCGTCCGTGTACATTGCGATTCTGATTGGCTACAAGCTTTTGGCGGGAAAAGGAAGCGCGCTCGCGTCAATTTTGAAAACAACTTTTTCACCACAACGACTCCATTTTTTTCTTTGAATCACTTCACTTCTGCGCCAACAATGTCGGAAAATCAACGGGTAGCTAACGGAAAKCGATCTTTATCTGAAGAAGAAAAGACAAAAGAGAACGTTGAAGAAGTCTTAGTGAARAACAATGCGGCACTGGGCTTGAACGGGAGAGAATACGTGACTGAAGCAAATCGAGAAAAAAGTGAACGCCAAAGACAACGTTTATTGGGGGAGAATTTCAAAGAGGAGAATCGACGATACCGTGGCGTTATTAAACAAATGGCGGTATGTTAGATTATGACTATTAAATATGGGCACTGTTAAGCGGTTTTTGGTGCTCAAATATCAATTCTACTACTWTAGGAAACACAAGAGCAGTTTTTAATTTGGTTTAAACTTGCTTTTGAATTTGAAAATCTACACTTGATACACTTCAAAACTTCTCAATCAAATCAGTTTGTTGACAATGGACACAATGAAAATATGACTTGTGTGAATTGTGTGTGCAAGCTACATGATGATCTTTTTTGACATAGAACTACTCGGACGGATGTTTTTATTTAAGCTTAAGCTTAAGTTAACTTATATATGCTTAGTCCTATGCATTTTAAAAAGCTGAGAGACTTGATATTTATGATATTTATTTGAAAGTTCAGATTTTTACTCTTTTACTCTTCAATGAACTGTCAACAAATACAGGAAATATTATGTTTGGATGCCGGTAAGCAAAGAATTTGAGAAAAGTTTCAAAAGTTTCTTTTAAAAGTTTCATATATTAATATCATTAGTCATTATGATTCCTTTGTTTATAAAACTGTCAAAATGTAATTATTTATCATCATTTATGATCATTTTTAAATGATCATATTTAAAAATATGATCACTATCTGATTGAAAAATATCAAACCAAAAAATGTATAAATTTATAGTGTCATTCCTGTGTATCAAATTATCATAATTTTTATGTTTCCTGGATGATTGAAAAACCACCATTGAAACTGTCAAATTGCATTAATCATTTTTTTATGATCATTGTATGATTGATAAATATCAAATGCCAAAATGCATTTATTATTATTTCAAAAACTCATACATAATTAATGAGCTACTAGGCCAATAGAATGAGCCTATTTGGTCACATGTATGGACCTTTATATCTGATAAAACAGATCTTATTAGTATTTACTAATAAGGGTGACCTTTATCAGACATAAAGGTCCATAACCCTAGCGAAGGTCTCAGGTTTGAAACCTGATCATTGACCAATGCAGGATGTCAACTGATTTCAGTGGACAGCCAAGAGCGGTTCTATTTTACTTTATGCGTATTCAATGTGGGATGAGACCAAATGTGCCTTGCATCCCATTTTTATCCAACATGCATATCTTTTGGGAGCTCCGCTATTAGGTTTTATAAAATAACTTGGATACTACGCGCGTTTTGATTGGCCGACTGCAGTGTTTGTATCAGAGTATGTAAACATGGTTTTGACGTCACCATTTTTTGTCAAGTGCGATTCAAAACTAGAAGTAGAATAGGAAAAAAATCAGCTATTTATACAAAAATGTATCCGAAAACTTGGCAACAACTAGTTATGAGTATTCTGCATGAAGTTTTACTATTTCTTGTAGTTTTTGACTGCATAGAATCGTCGGTATAAACTATAGATAAACAAAGCAACTTGAAACTGGAACTGAAAAATCAAAACGTAATAAGCTTAACTGCATCTTTATTATTGTAAATAACGTGTGAAAAGCAAGTTACATTTTCTATGAAGCTAAAATTTGAGGAATTTAGTGAGTATTTTGCATTTTATTGAGATACTATTTAAGAAAAGTAGTACAAGAATAATATGTCGATTTGCGCTTGAGAATCGAGATTTCTTTCAGTTCAACGATTGTTCATAATGAGTCTCTTTATAAATTCGTTACATACAAGTACACGGTAAACAAAGCTACTAGTTTAACCTAGAAATATGAATACCAGCTTATTTATTAAACGTAATTTATCGGACCAAGATCTTTATTTGTAGCTTTGGGAATATTTTCGTACGGTTTGTTGTCATTGCAGTTCTTGCATCGCTCGCATAAAATTATATTCAGTTTGATATTGTTACCAGATACCAGTTCAATAAAAAATCTCTATGAACATGAATTCCACCTTCTTATCCATGAAATGGAGTTCAAACGACCAATGCCTTCATGTGTTATTTGTGGTTTTGTGAATTTTTTCGTCGGTGATGCTGAAGTGCCGGTACGTCGAAGCGGCTAATCAAACATCATTTAAAGTGTCAAAACAAAGTCTTTCAGCAAGTATATTCCTGCAGTTTTTCAAAATCTCATCTTGATATCATTTCCATACCAATTCTGAAAGGAAACGTAACATAAAGCTTTACTTCAAATCAGTGAATCGACTAAATGTTTTCATTCAGCGAAAGCAGTACACATTCCGTTGCTGGTTTTACCTACCTTTTTCT